GGGCATGCAGAGCACCACAGGTATCCACAGGGAAATACCCACAGGATACTGTCTGAATTAAAAGAGGGACATGACACGAGTCACTGGAGCAGGTCTGAGACACTGAACAAAGCATTGCTAGTCCTGACTTCCTTTAAGCTGGTCATCAAAAGGAGAAATTAATTAAAAATACAGAGTGTGCATCATAAATATGTTTGTTTTTTTTTTTTTAAGAGTTAAAAATAATAATTTATTTTTTCTTTTTGAGCTCACGGGTTGTAACATTTTTATATATGCATATTTTTTCCCCTCCTTCTTTGTTTCAAGTCTCTTGTTTGCACTAATTATCTAGGCTCTCTGTCTTCTCAAAGCAAAATAATAAAAATGCTGCGTTAATCTAAAGGACAAGTACTGTTAACAGCACAGGGCAAATGCAAATGAATTATTGGAACTAGTGCTACTGCAACTTATTTGTGTTAGGCTGGGAAAACATTGTACTTTTAATGAATAATAAAGACATTTTTATGGTTGCGTAACAATAATTAATTCAGCAATTTTGACTCACGATTTATGATTGTTCAAAAAAATCAGAACAAATCAGATTGTTTTCATTTATCAAAACACAAAAGAATAGGACTTCTACTCTTGTGCATAGTTTGTGTGAGGTATAACAAGATTATTGCCTCAAAAGTTCACATTTTTATGCCTGTAGAACAAGAACTGGGCTCCAAAAAGCGAAGATACTTAGACACCAGCTCTGCTAAAAATGTTTGTTTGTTTACCTGCCCACACTCTTCCATTAATATTTGAGGATAACTGCAGGCTACCACTGCATTTTTCCCAATAAAACACACTACAAAAGTCAAAATGGCATGTTCCCATTTGTGAAACCAGCATCCTGAATCTCCTGTAATTGAAACCACATCCAATATTCTTCTACCAGAAACACACAAACTAAACTGCTTAAGCACTGTCCCCACAAGCCATCAGATAAATGCTCTCCTAGTCTGTAATACCATTTTACATACAGTTACACAAACATATGCATATGCTAATATTCTTAATTGGTATTTTCCATTCAAAAGCGTAATCTGTGTTGACCTTAGGAAGGGGGACCTTCCAGCTCCTGATTCTAAAGAACATCTCATCAGTCAGCACACTGAAAATCTCCATTTAATCAGGGTTTCTTCCAGACAGATTAGGAAGAAGATGCTTTTGTGTGTACCAAACCTCTCCCTCATTTCTTTGCACACCTCAAGAGTTCAGAAACAATAGCTCCACCCAAACAATATAAACTACTACTCTTTCAAGCTGTAGATTTTTGAAAGCACTTGAAATAATGCCTCTTGCACAGCAAGGTGGCCACATACAGCAAGGCACCCAACTTTGGACCATTTAACTTCAAAATTCAATCTTACCCTGTTAGTACAGGTGAGAACAGTGTCAGTATTTCTTACCAAAAGGATGTAACATCCCTCCTGCAATATCCAGCTGCAGGATTTTGATCCAGCCACACAAATGCCTTGTCAAAAGAATCTCCCTTTGTCTGCACATCAGTTCATGGCCTCCCAAGCACCCTCAGCTGCTCCAGCTCCTCAGAACAACTCATCCACATGGAAAAGTCACCAAATGGTACCTGACCAACAGGGCTGGGTTTGAATTAGGACTGCAGAGCTGCCCAAAGGACAGAATCAGGCACAGTGCTGCTTCCATGGCCACGTGGGAAACCTTATGCATCTTTTGGGGAAGCTATTCCTTTTTTTTTATTTGCCCAGTAGTTTTAATAAACACTCTCACTTCACACACACGGAATTAAAACACCAGAAATTTTAGCAGCTAGTAGTTAATTTCTGAATTCTTCAGCTTCACATGATTTAACCATTTGACACCATTTACATGTGACAGTTTGTGCAAACAATTTAGAGTTATCACTTGAACAAATCAAGATTTATTCAGAATAAGAAATATTTTTAAATGTAGGGGCCATACAGGGATACAAAACCAACAAGATTTAAAGAAAATTTGCAATGACTTAGAGAAAAAAATGCATGTGACATGAAGAGACCTCTGTGTCTTCTATGCAGCAGTTACAAAAGCATATTTAAATGTGCTCACAGGTTGTTTGTTTTGGGTTTTTTTTATCTAAATATTTCAATTATAGCATTTGAATTATTAACTACATAGAGATATTGAGGTAGAAGGGAAAGA